AAATGGAGAAGAATAATAGAGGAGAAGAAATGGTGGCGGACGGCAGGGCGAGAAAGGTTGTTGTCGTCGGTCCGCAGGAGCTCTGGCCGGCCCTCCCGGCCCCCGCTCCCGCCCCCTGCCGCGCCCGCCCCATCCGGGGCCCGAGGGCGCACTGCGCCGCCGGAGGTCTGACCATGTCTGGCGGCGACGACGACGACGACGGCGACGCACTTCGAGGTTCGAGGAGGTTTTTCGCTTCTTTCGGCGTCTGGAGGCGCGCTCAAAGCCCCGGGGCCGTCGGGAATCACTGCCGCGCCATGCCTTTCGTCGGCGCCGCGCCATGCGCGGCCGTGCGCGGCCGTGCAGGAGTTGCGAGGGGGAGGAGTTGAGAGGAGTGCGGAGGAGTTGTGAGGGGGAGGATTTGAGAGGATTGCGGAGGTGCTCAGAGGAGCGCGGAGGAGTTGAGAGGAGTGCGGAGGAGTGCAGAAGGAGGAGTACAGAAGGATATGAGAGGATGAGTTGAGAGGAGTGCGCAGGAGTTGAGGGAAGTGCGGAGGAATTGAGAGGAGCGCGGAGGAGTTGAAGGGATGGGGTGGGACGAGGAAAAGGAGGACGAGGAGGAGGAGGAGGACGACGACGACGACCACGAGTGCGGCGACCAATACAACGAGCACTACCAACACAACGAGTACGACGACGTCGAGTGCGACGACGACGAGTGCGACGACGAGTGCGACGAGCGCGACGACGAATGCGAATACGAGTACGACGGCGAGGTACGACGACGAGTACGATGACGAGTAAGACGATAGAGCGGCAACGAGCGCGACGACGAGCACGACGAGTACGACAACGAGTACGACAAGTACGACGACGATTCGCGACGAGGGTTTAGAACGCAGCACTGCGCATAGATGATAATGACAAGCGAACACATAATATTAAAAATCAGTATGCGGGGTTCCTCGGTAGCGTAATTAATGATATGTTGTCCACGCGCAAGCATAAGAACTAAAAACACAAGTGGCGGATCAACGATAGTGATTCGTCAAGCGTGGGATGACACGAACAACAGCAGCAACAGCAACAACAGACCTAGTGATGTTAAGACAGATCACTCTTATCCAGTCGCGGGCCAACCAACACGTATAGATCAACATCTCGATGCCCGCGTTTCTCGTATTCGATCGTACCCCCTTTGGGTGTATATACTTCTTACCTGTAACAGGTATTTCGCGCAATCGGCACCAGGGATTGGGGAAGCCCCAGGGCTCGAGAGGAAGAACCAAGCGGGAGCGTTGTTGTTCGCAGGGGGCGACGTCTGCGGCGCCGGGGCGGGAGCGCTGCTTTAGATGATGGAAACAAGGAAGTATCTGGTGGGAGCGCCGGTTTTGTTGGAAAGCCGGCTTTCGGCGGCGAGGACCAGCCCCGGTCCCGAGTAGAAAAGGAGGGACATATCGAGCCGGAGCGTTGAATTCTCATTTCTGAAGAGTGCTTATTGTTGAACCCCCTTTGCGGTAACCATTGTATGTTTCCTATTGATGTGCCCCTCCCGGGGATCGCACATGGATTTTCTAATCACGGAAGGTCTTGAGCCTCAAAGTGAGCGGCGGGCCCCCAAGTTACAACAACGACAACAACAACGGCTCCTGGCTGACACTTCCTCACAATGTATTCCCAGATCGCGCTATCGCGCGAGACTTCCTCACAGTTTACAAAGGAATCGCGCTCTCGCGTGGAACTTTCTCGCCATTTGTTCAGACGCCGCGCCCTCGACACTCAGGAAGCATGCTCTCGCTGTGGATTTCTTTGCGAATTCAAGGATTTGGGAATCGTCCTATCGCTCGAGATTCCTTCGCGGTTCAAGCAGGACGCACGCTTCAGCAACCCGTTTGCTCGACCTGGCCGCCTGGGCCCGCCTTCCTGATCCGCCTGTTACGGTCTACCCGCCCGATCTGCCCGGCTGGTTCTGCCACGTGAGTTCTGCTCCTAGCACTTTCTCCTGCTATTTTCTTTTGCGTTCCATCCTTCTCCCTCCCCCTCAGGTCCATTCCTCCCATCCGTTCTCTCTTCCACTGCCTAGGGGCTGCACGAAGCACACATTGCAGGTAAGAGTATATATATATATATATATATATATATATATATATATATATATATATATATATATATATATATATATTATATATATATATCCCAAAGGGGGTAAGATCGAAGACGACTAGGCGAAACAGTATGAAAATGAGTGTTGTGGTTGGTTGTTGTTGGTGGTGGTGCTGTGTTTGTCGGTGTTGTTGATGTTGTATGTGGCGCTGTTGTTCTTAGTGGTGGTGGTGTTGTTGTTGCTGTTATTGTTGCTGTTGTTGTTGGATCTCCATGACTACAGAATGATTATGATTGGTCCCCCCCTTCCGGGGCACAATGTATTAAATACTCCTCCTGGGGATCGTTGCTTGTTTTTTCACAAGGGACAGCGAGGGGTCACCAAATGACCCCCTTGCCGCCGACTTACAACAACAACGGCTCCCGATTCATACGTCCTCACAATGTATTCCTCAATTGCGTTCTCGCGCGGGACTTCTATGCAAGTTATGTAGGAACCGCGCTGTCGCGTGGGACTTCCTCGCAGTTGACTCAGACGCCGCAACCTCGACACTCAGAAATTGCGCTCTCGCTTTAGTTTTTTCCGGGATTTCCTCCAGAATCGCGCCATCGGTCGAGCATTCCCCGCGATTCATGCAATATTCACGTTTCAGAAACCTGCCTGCTCGACCTGGCCGCTGGGGCCCCCCTTCCCGACCCGCCCATTAGGTTCTACCCACCCGATGTGGCCGTCTGATTTTGCCAGGTGTTTTCTGCTCCCAGCCCACCTCCTGCAAATCACGTGCTCAATCCCTCTCCCTCCTCCTTCCATGCGTGCGTTGTGTTCCTGTTTCAGAGGCTGCACCAATTACGCGTGGCAGGTAAGGAAGATATATTCCCAGGGGGGTACGATCGAATACGAAGAGGGGGGGTACCGGGTGTTTGGGATATACGTGTTGAGTGGCACGCGAGTTGGTAAGAGCGAAAACTATTACATTGTTTGGTGTGTTGTTGTTGATGTTGGAAGTGTTAGTGGTGTTGGTGTTGTTGGTGGTGGTGCTGTTGTTGTTGATGTTGTTGTTGTTGTTGGTGTTGGTGTTGTGCTTGCCGTGTGTGTTGTTGTTTGGTGGTGGTGTTGGTGTTGTTAGTGTTCGTGTTGATGGTGTTGTTGCTTTTAATGTTGCTGTTGGTGGTGGTTGTAGTGCTGTTCCTGTTGCTGTTGCTGTTGTTGTTGCTGTTGTTGCTGCTGTTGTCGTTGTTGCTATTATTGTGTTTGTTGTTGTGGTTGTTGTTGTTGGTGGTGGTAGTGTTGCTGTTCTTGCTGTTGCTGGGGGGGCGTTTCGGCGTCCCCCCGAAACGCTAGAGCGCGAGCCTAATTTTCAGAGGAAACATAGCCAGCGCCAAGGCGAGAACGCCGGCGCGGATACAGGGTGTCAAGCAGCTATCATTTTAGAGTAACTCAGGTCCTCAGGGAAGCCTCAGGTCCCTCTGGGGGTCTTGAGCAGAAGCGAAGGAAGTGTCGAGCGGGAGCGTCGTTGTTTGCAGGGGGACCGCTTGTGGCGCTGAGGCAGGAGCGCTGGTCTTGAGTAACAAGCAAGGAAACATCGAGCGAGAGCGTCGGTTTCGTTGAAAAAACAGCTTTCGGCGGCGTGCAGAGCGCCGGTCCCGAGTAGAAACAGAGGAATGATCGAGCCCAGACGTCGATGTTGAGGGGGTTGGCGCTGCGGCGGTGGGCGTGGGTCATGTTTTCAAAAGAAGTGCAGCCGGCGCCGAGGCGAAAGCGCGAGGGCGCCTGAAGGGGGTCCGACAATAGAAATTGTTTCGTTATTCAGATGCAGCAAGGGACGAATGTGCCTGGCGCGAAGGCGAGAGCCACATTTTGAAAAGGAGCAGCCGTCCATTTTTGAAGCGGAGTGCCATGTGTAAGACAAATGTGCGCGGCGCTACGGCTAGAAAGCCCCATTTTGAAAAGGAACCGCCCTCTATCTTTGAAGTTGCTGCAGACTTTGAATACGAAGGCAAGCGGCGCGAAGGCGAGAGCTCCAATTCGAAAACGACCCGTATCAAAGGGGAAGGCGCCAGATCCTCGTCTTAATTCTCTCCTTCCCCCTTTGAATCCTTCCCTCCTGCCACTCCCCCCTTCCGCCCACTCCTCCAAAAGTCAGGGATGTTGCCCAGAATCAGGAGCAACGGCGGGAGATGACGGCATTGTCAAGAATCTTGCGGGAAGGGAGGGAGGAGGGACGGAGGATGAGAGGCGAGAGAAGAGAGGGGGGGGGGAGAAGTGGTGTAGAGAGACAGGTATAGAGCGAGGGATGCGAGATCAGGCAGGAATAAACGACGAGGGAAGAAGGAGTGGACGAGGTCAGAGTGAGAAGGAACATATTTAGGATAAGAGGCTGACGGGAGAGGAGTTCTCCTTACTGTTCCTTTCTCCTCTTCCTTCTCCCTGGGACCTCCACAGCCCCCCAAAACCCTACCTCCTTGCTACGCCTCCTCGCCCTCGTTCCGTATCCTTCACCTCATTCGCCCGATTTGGAAAACCACTCAAAATCAGTTTCCAGACCCCTTCCCGGGATCCATCATGGCCGGTGTTCCATCTTAGGTCGATGCTTGATTGATCCGTGGTAAGAAATAAGGCCCCACGCGGAGGCCGAATAATACGACACAAATGCTCGAGCCCTGTTCTCATCCGCACGAGGTTTAGTACTGTTTAACCGACCCCCATCCCATCCTCATCCCCTTCGAGACCCCCACCAAATTACCACCCCAGTCGGGGATACACCCCTCTAACCCGAAGGGAACGGCCCATATCCCCATCTAGGGAGGTAAATCGGCCAGTGGGGCCCAGGCCACGCCGCTGGGGATGGGGGTCGGATGAACGATGCTCAGAGGTCGAGAGATTGAGCGGCAGGGTGTCGGCCCGTGCCGCTTGGAAGGTCAAGGTGGAGCTCAGGAAGCAAGAGGAAGAGGCCGCCGCCCATCTGCTCGGCAGCGGAGCAACGTCAGGGAGGGATACGCTCAGGGGGGAACGCATCGACCCCCAATCGCCCGCTGATCGCCGATAGGGGCCCGATAGCCTCCCCAGCCAATGACCGTGCGGATTCGTTCTTGGCGATGTATCACCGATTCCATGTCGATGTCCCCCCCCCCCGAGCTGGTCCCCCCTAACCGTGCTCCCCGATGGAGGAGGAGGAGGAGGAGGAGGAGGAAGAGAGGAAGAAGAGGAGGAGGAGGTTCGAGGCTCGAGGTCGTTGTACTTCGTCCGTCTTCTGATTCTGGTTTGCCATCCAGGAGGCTTCAGGTCGCCGCGGCGGGATTCCCTCTTAAGTTCTCACTCCCGTCGGGACGCACCCCAGGAGTGGTCTGGGCCCAGAGATCACAGGGAGGGGGAGCAGGAGACAGGTCAACAGAGGCCTCGGGGGGAGATCGGGATGCTCTTGGACGCCAGGATGTCTTCCATCCGCGGCGTATCCACGAGGGCCTTCCGGGAACTCCATCTCGCCCTGGACGGCCGCCCGAGGCCCGAACCCGGCGGACAGAGGGAGCAGGACCCAGATCTCCAGTCCGAAGCGGGGATGTATCCCGAACCACCGCCCGATATATTCGGGGGCGGAAAAGAGGGGGGTGATGACTAGGGGGGGGGGATATCATGGCGTGGGCCATGAGATCTCCCCAGATTTCATGGCGCCTCTTCTTATTTCATTACGTCCCTGGCCCCCCCGCTGGGCCGCGCACATGCCGCCGGTCATGATTTGCATCCCCCCCTCTTGGACACCCCCCTCTTGGCCGCTCCCGATATATCATACATATAAGAGATAAACTATAACATTATCGTGGCGAAGAACCCAACCATATGTTGTTGTGAGTACCGTTGTTGTGAATGTCTTCTTCGGTGGCGCTCACTATGGGGCCACGAATCCATGGTCTTGTCGTTGTACGCACTCGAAAAGCTCCCCGCGAACTTTCATCCACTCCCACACATACCGGCCACCGTGCGACCATCCGAATACGCGCGCACAAAGCGGGCGCTCCAACGAGGGCAAAACACCATTTCACAAGTTTCGCGATGGTCTTGTCCTTCTACGCCACCGACCTAATCGCGACCGTCCGAAAACGTCTGCGCAAGGCGAACGTCCCAACGAGCCCCAGAAAACCATTTCAATGTTTTTCGATGGTCCTGTCCTACTACGCACCCGAAAAACTCCCCACGAACCTCCACCACTCCCACGCATCCCTCCCCGCCGGCCAACGTGCGGGCGTTCGAATACGCGCGCGCAAAGCGGACGCTCCAACGAGCGCTGGTTCTTCCGAAGACGACATGAAACGACCAAAGCGACGATAACAATCAAACAACCGAAGAATATTTGCCTTCTCCAAGCAAGTTAGCCCTCAGGCACCGTCCAGAAGCCTCTGTAGGCTTCAGACACACGAGACCCCAAATTTCAAAATTCGGCAGCAGTTCACCCTCTCCAGGTCAGAATGCCAAAATATCATTCGACTTCTCTTGAATCTACGTCCTCCATTATCCTCTTTCCTCCATCCCTGCCAGGGACTACGGGGACCCCCTTACAAGTAAGCAAGGAGGTGGTGCACGGGGTAGCCAAAGTGGAAAAGTGCAAGGGGAAAAGGATTGGGCGGATAAGGACAAGAGAATGTGGAAGGGGACGAGGACGAGAACGAGAAGGAGAAGAGAGGACGACGACGACGACGACAGCGGAGGCGGCGGCGACGACGACGACAACGACGACGCGAAATGATATTGTCACGTTCGCAGCACACACACACACACAAAAAAAAAAAACACATCGATGTGCATGGCTTGTCGAAACCGTTCCGGTTCAAGACCATGCCCCTGAGGACACCCCATCGCTTAGTAATCCTAGACACCGGGTGGGGCCTGGGGCCACGAAAAGTGTGGGATGTGTGCCGACATGGGAGTGGAACCGCATGCGAACGCAGCCATTGGGGCCTTCGGTGGAGTTCCCTATAGGGCCACGAAGCGTGTGGGATGTGTGCCAAAATTGGGGTAAAACCGCATGCGAACGCAGCCACTGGGGCCCCACGAAATGTGTGAGGGATGTGCCGACATGGGCAGCCACTGGGGCCTTCGGTGGAGCTCCCTATAGGGCCACGAAGCTTGCAAGGGGTGTGCCGACATGGGAGTGGAACCGCATGCGAACGCAGCCACTGGGGCCTTCGGTGGAGCTCCCTATGGGGTCACGAAGCGTGTGAGCGGTGTGCCGAAATGGGGGTGGAACCGCATGCGAACGCAGCCACTGGGGCCTTCGGTGGAGCTCCCTATGGGGTCACGAAGCGTGTCAGGGGTGTGCCGAAATGGGGGGGTGGAACCGCATGCGGGCGCTGCCGCTGGGGCCTTCGGTGGAGCTCCCTATGGGGTCACGAAGCGTGTGAGGGGTGTGCCGAAATGGGGGGGTGGAACCGCGTGCGGGCGCTGCCGCTGGGGCCTTCGGTGAAGCTCCTTATGGGGCCACGACACGTATGAGGGGTGTGCCAACATGGGGGTTGGAACCGCATGCGGGCGCTGCCGTTTGGGCCTTCGGTGAACCTCCCTGTGGGGCCACGACACGTGTGAGGGGTGTGCCGAAATGGGGTGGAACCGCATGCGGGCGCTGCCGCTGGGGCCTTCGGTGGAGCTCCCTATGGGGCCACGTAATGTGTGAGGGGTGTGCTGAAACGGGGGGGGGAACCGCATGCGGGCGCTGCCGTTGGGGCCTTCGGTGAAGCTCCCTATGGAGCCACGAAACGTGTGAGGGGTGTGCCGAAATGGGGGTGGAACCGCATGCGAACGCAGCCACTGGGGCTTTCGGTGGAGCTCCCCATGAGGCCATGAAACGTGTGAGGTGTGTGCCGAAAGTGGTGTCGATGATGGTGACGATAACGGCGATGATGATGGCGACGAAGGTGATGATGACGATGATGCCGATGAAGAAGACAACGATGATGATGATGACGACGATGATGATGATGATGATGATGATGATGATGATGATGACGATGACGATGATGATGATGATGATGATGATGATGATGATGATGATGATGATGATGATGATGATGACGATGACGATGACGATGACGATGACGATGATGATGATGATGATGATGACGATGATGATGATGATGATGATGATGATGGCGACGACGATGATGATGATGATGATGAGGATGATGATGAGAGGAGGAGGGAGGGGGCAGCGGGAGGAGTGAACGCGGGGCGCTGTCTTTTCAACACGAGGAACCAACACCACAGGATGGTTGGGAATCACATATATTATGATAGAACAGAAGAGATTACCATATATCGTAATGTAAGATAAGTGGACGAACGCCATACAATATTCAATGTTGGTACTTTAGTGTTGCGCAGCGTAGTATAATGTTAGGTAATATAATGCAAATCTTCTTCCATGTACTATACTACAACAAGATATAATCGAATGTGTCATAGTATTATAATATAGGTTGCACTAAATCATAATATCCGTAAGGGCTTCGCCCCATGCCGCCGGCCTCCTGTCTCGGATAATAGGAGATGCAAACACTAAATCATGAGGTTTAAGCGCCGCCGTGAAGCAATGTCGAGACCTGTTTGTTTTTCGACCCTGACCCTACGGATCTGCGTCACGGGTGCCACCGAATTTCAGCAATGTAGCAAATCCTATGTGTTTTTGCGCCCTGACTCCGCCGATCTGCGTGAGGGGTGCCAGCAAATTTCAGAAATGTGGCAACTCCCATGTGTTTTTGGGCCCTGACCCTGCCGATCTGCGCGAGGGGTGCCGCCGGATTTCAGAAATGTTGCAAATCCCTTATGTTTTTGGACCCTGACCTCGCCGATCTGCGTGAGGGGTTGCCGAACTTCAGAAATGTGGCACATCCCTTGTGTTTTTGCACCCTGACCCCGCCGATCTGCGTGAGGGGTGTCACCGAATGTCAGAAATGTCGCAAATTCCTGACCCCGCCGATCTGCGTGAGGGGCGCCAGCAAATGTCAAAAGTGGCAAATTCCATATGTTTTTGGACCCTGACCCCGCCGATCTGCGTGAGGGGTGCCACCGAATTTCAGAAATGTGGCACATCCCTTGTGTTTTTACACCCTGACCCCGCCGATCTGCGTGAGGGGTGTCAATTCTTACCCACCCCAGCAATTCAGAACACACGCTCAGGGCGTGGTAAAAATGCCCGTTTGGGGCCTCCCCCCCTCGCGCGGTCCATCAACAAGGAACAGTTAACAGCAAGAAGCAGAACTGCAACAAGGAACAGTAAGGAGCAAGAAACATAACTGTAACAGTGGAAACTGGAAGCTGCAACTGGTACAGGAAACTGCGAACCTTAGGCCTACAGCCTGGTGTCCCCACAAGGGGGCCAGCGGATAATAAAATAAAGTATAATGTAAGATAATGTCATCGTATATCATATATAGAATATAGTAGCATCTATTGTGATATAATACAACGTCAAATAACATACTTAATACCGTATAACGTAATGTAATATAGCATGCTCGACTATATTATAATAGCAAAACATATGGTATAGTATAACAAGCACCGCAGTGTAATTCTTTACGCTTCGCGTATCCCCACCAGCCCATCTCATAACAGCACGTCTTGCGAAGCATGCCGACAGTTGTGTTTATCAGGCGTGTGTCCCCGTGGCCCCGCATATCGCCCCTGTCCTTCCTTCGTCCCGCCTCCTTGTGCATCCTTTTTGCGGGGGGAGCGGGAGTTTGGGGGGAGCGGGAGAAAGACGAGGCGCAGGAGGAGGGAGAGAAAGCGGTGGGAGGCAAGAGGGACTTAGCGGAGACGACGACCTCAGGAATGATCGGAACATCGACGACGCACCCGACGACGACGACGATGTCGACCGCAAGGTCGGCGACGATCACAACCGCGACGACGACGACGACGTCGACGACGACGACGACGACGAGGAAGGCGGCGGCGACGACG